ATCATGAAAACCACAAGCTCCCAAGAAGCTAACAAGGAGCTGGGACCTTTTACAAGCTGAATAATTAGAGTCCCATTCCTAGTCACTCACGTAGTTAATGTAACTTCGAAAAAACTAATTGAAATTGTTAAGACACAGCAAAAGCTCTTCAAATTTTCTAAAAGGGACCAAAAGGAAGAATGATTTTGCACTAATATGCACAGAATTCAAAAGGGTTTTTGTTAAATTTCATTAAATTCAACAAAAAAAAAACATTCAGGATTCTATATAATTGTAATTTGGTCCAGATAAAATCAGGATTATCAATAATGAGGATGGTCATGATCACTGTACAAAACCCAGAAAACATATGAAAAGGAACTGCAGATGATTGTGATTAACTGGATGAGCCCGTGAAAAAGAAATTCAAAGTCAATCGAACATAGAAGAGAATTTTTGCAAAATCGAGAGAGAGAGAGAGAGTAATTGTCGATTTTTTGAAAATAAAAATAAAACAAAAGGCATGGAGAGAAAGCCAGGGAAGTAGAGAGAAGGTAAAGAAAGGAATTTGAAATTCTCGCCTTTGTTGACGAAGAAAAGTATGCATCTTTGTCACAAACCCTGGAGAGAGAAACCAAAGGGAGGATTTTGTAGAGGGAGAGAGTTGGTGGGGATTATCGTGACAGAAAGAATGCTCGTTTTGTATATAAATGACAGAGATAATTTAATACTTCTATAATAATATTAATAATAATTTGCTTGGATTGGATTGGATACCCTTTGTTCTGTGACTACTTGTTTGTTTTCTTGGTAAAAAATAAATTCCATGTTACAAGTTTGAAGGTAAAAATATTCTCCAGCCAGTTTTTATCGCGACAGGAAACAGAAATAGAGACATGAGATGATGAGATTTGTCTCGGTATGTTTTTTATTTTAAAAATATTAAAATTTATTTTATAATTATTTTACAGATAGATTTGTTTTTGTTTTTGTTTTTGTTTTTATTTTTGTTTTAATCGTATTAATCAGCATGTTTTTTTTTTTGTATTTATTATTGTATCATGTATTTGTTAAAAATAGAACATCAATTGTTACTTTATGATTACAATAAAAAAAATTGATAAAAAAATTAATAATATTTATAAAATAACTAATTAGATATTATTAATTATTTTCGAAGCGCCTTAAAGTTTTTCATTGATATTTAAAGAAAAAAACATAAAATAAAATAGCAGAAAGAAGAGAAGTTGATTAGAGAAAAAACTAAATAATATAGATAAGAATAATTTAATTATTTTATCATATTTAAAAATTTGTGTTAACTCAGAATGTAAATAATAGATTTTTAAACGACAATGAGTAATTATAATATAAAATGTAGTTTTCTTGGTAAATTATTAATATCAAAATTATACAATTTTTTATATAAAAAAATATAATTAAAAGTCTTGAACTATATACCAAGGCAATCTTATAACATTAAATTAAAAATAAACATAATTCCCCTCCAAGTCTATTGAACACACGAGAATAGGCATTGTGGATTAACATGCTATTTTATTTTAGTCCTTTTAATACTTTTATATTACGATCACTAAAATTTTTCATTTTTAAATTTAACTTACACGATGCATTATTTAGAAATTAAACTGTATAATTTATCTTGATTTTCTATCCATTAGGTTATTTCAATTTAAAAATAGTATCTCAACATTAGATACAGGTCAACTCTACAAAAAAAAAAAAAATCAATTTTACTGCTAGTGAAATATTTAAAACATGGGGGCCATAATTGATAGAGTAGTAGATATTCAAGCTCTTTTTTCTTCCTTTTCTTCTTCTTTTCCAGTGTGCATTCACCGTCTTTTCAAAGGTTTTTGCCTTTAGATTTTTTTCATTTTCCTATTCATCCCTTTACTTTAAAAATTTTACATTTTAATCTAGAACTTTATTTGATTCATTTTTCAATCTCTTAATATCTTTCAACCCTTCTCTTGCTGAAAAAGGTAGATTAAGGCAGAGAAAGAATTTTTGTCTTAGTAATTTTGCATTTTTTACTGTTTTAGATATGTTTTGAGTTAATAAATGGGTTTATAGAGATGGTAAAAATATCCATTGGTTTTTCAAAAGAAAATAAGTTGAAAAATAAATTTTTAAATTAAAATTAGCCCAAGTTAATTTTTTCAATCATCTCTTTAATGATCGAAACCTTGATAAATATACAACACCTTCCCTGTTATTGATTTTTTTTTTTTTTTAAAGGAACAACTCTAGCGGGCTTGGCCTTGTATACCCCCTCGCATCTAACTTTTTTTAGCAGGCAATGAACCGAGGCCTAGCTTCTTTCTATATATTTTTTCATTTTGTTTTGTGTTTAGATTTAAATGCAATGTAGAAGAATTGTTATATGGATCTTAATTACTGTTGTTAGTTTTTATGAGAATATTAATATATTTTTTTATGAAAAAAAAGCTTATGAATATTCAATTAAAATAAAATTTATTTTTTTAGAATTCTTGATTGATTTTTTACATAATTTTATCACATTTCGTAATTTTTTGGTATTAATCACATACAAAAATTTATTTATTTATTTTTGGAGACTGTGATAGATTTTTATCTAGAAAATAGTGATTGCAATTAAAAAACATGTTTTTCTTAAAATAATCAAAAGGTATATTTGTAAATAAAAAATGGAGTTTAGATAGGAGAAATATATTTTTTTCAACTTATTTGAAATGGTTGAGATCTTAAAAAAAAAAAATCTTTACTTTTGCTATCAACGCCTTCCATTTTAAAAAAATAACGATGATGTTGTTTTCAAGAAGATCAAGACTTTTTGATGATGTATTATTGATTTTTTAATGAGTAATTACATATCATCCTTACATGCAAAAAATTGTTATTAATTTTCTAATAAATGTTAAATGAAAATAAAGTACTCCTTTTTTTTTATTTGTTCATTGTAAAATTTTATATAATATTTTCAAATTCATCATTCTTGTTTTTATGTGGTCCGGATAAATGCTCAATTTCTGATTTTTTTTAGATTAAAACTTGTTTCCATTATCATAATGTGTTTTTGTTTAAAAAACAAAGTTTTTTTTAAAAAAAATTCATCAAAATTTAAAATAATACATGAATACGAAAATCTAGTTTTTTATTAAAAATATACGCCTTTTCCTTTTTATTTTAAGTCAATAAGTTTTTTCTATTTTTTTTTATTATTGTCTTGTTTGATTCAATGAACCATGCTGCTGCTAAAAAAAAAGACTTTTGTTGCCAAAAAACACTTCAATCATAAAAAGACAATTTAGATCGACAAAAATACATAATTTCTCAATATTTTTATTCGTTCTATTCCTTACAAATGTCCATTTTTACAACAATTAAATTTAATAAAAAATATATTATAAAATAAAAAAGTTATCAAACCTAATTAAAATAATCACCCGAGCAATAATTAAATAATTTTACTCAGTTTAATTAAGTTGATAAAACACATTATTGATTTAATTTTTTTTACATGTAAACATTACATCAATGCTGTTTTTAAAATATCATTTCTTAAAATAAATTAAGTTAGGTTTTTACTGAATCGAGTATCCACAAGCACATCCATGAGTCAGCTGAACCATATTTGATCAGCTCACACGGTTTGCTTGAATGCTCATCAACTAACTAGGTTTACAAATATAATTTGATTTAATAATATCATCAACAAGTTATTCACAACAACTCACGACAACTACCTAGTTGCATTCACTTTTCAAATTAAAAAGGCAAAGAACTTTCAATAAACTTTATTGAAATTATTATGGATCAACATCCTCCGATAAGAACAGGCCAAAACTTCACATCAAGTTTGATTCGGACAAGTATACTTAGATCTTGTGAGAAAGAAAAAGCAATATCATCATCGTCCCTGAATTGTTAATGACTCCAGGAGTATTGAAGAACCTTACACGAAATCAATTTACACTTGCTATTAAATAGACAGGAGTGAATTAGATTTATATAAAATCTCCACGAAATCACTTTATCAATAGCATTAAAATTAATATTATTTTTTCGTGGCGGCTCTTTTTATTTATTTATTTATAAACTCATGTTAAATAGCAAGGAAACTAAATAATATTAAAAAAAAAAAAAACGATGCCATGTGAGTGTTCTGCTAGAATAATAGATAATAGCGAAATATTGCCATGAAAGAGTAATATTCCAGGCGAGTCATCTGCAGTGGGCCTAGATGTTGGGATGACTGTCCGAAGTCTCCAGGATAAGAAAGCACAAGCCCAGCAAAATGACAGGAGTGTCCAGGGCCCGTGTGCTCACCTTTAATACGTGGCACTTGCTTAATTGTTAGATCTGATGAAATCAAGAGCTCATCATTAAAATTAAGGTGTTTTCAGTTGGTTCAGCAGTCAATGTCCGAATCTTAAAATCATCGCCAAAGGGAATTAATTTCTCCGAATGTCTTTTATATATATATATATATAAATATATAAAAGAATTTTAAGATATATAAGGAAGAAGTAAAGCATTTATTTTTAAAATAAATTTAATTCTTAATAGCGGTTAAGTTGATTTTAAAAATTCATTATCATACAGGAAAAGTAGAAAATAATTTGAAAATTCATGAAATTCCACTTTGTTGGAGCTCAACCATCCTTAAAGCCACATACGATGTTAGAGATACTAGGTTACTATACTATGCTAGCTGTTGCTGGGTTGAATCAATTTTTATTTTAAATACAAATAATAAAATTAAAAAAATAAATAATAAAAAGAACTCAAATGGTGCATTCAAACAAAATAACATGTAATAATTCAATTTTAATTAAAAAAATTCAAATATGTGAACTCAATGAAAACCTAGATTTCATGTAATAATTCAGTTTTGATTAAAAAAATCAGACAATTAAAAAAACTGGATATATTTTTTTATAAAAAATATGATAAGACATAGAATTGAAAAGGATGATTTTAATTTATTTTTCATCAACAATTTATTGTCATATACATGATAATTCAGAACACGCCTAACAGACATTAATCTGATTTTTATACTTGGATGTTTAATCTGCTTGAAAACTCTGGGGCCTGTTCGTGCTCGTAGTCTAAATTTTTACAAGTATAGATAGAACAACATGTTCATCAGTGTCTCATTAAACTTTAATTTATCTAAATGCTTAGAATTTTGATGGCTTGTATAAAACGTTTGATAAGAAAAAAAAAATCACCGACACGGGCCATCTTTGCAGGACAAGGTTCCCACAGCTACCGTCATCGTGTGGAAAATGGCACCATAGCTTTTCTCAAGGATTCTCAGCTTCTGAATCATTGCACAATCCAACGAGTGCTGCAACATCTGCGAAGACTGTCAAGGCTCTTCCAGAAAGTTATTTCCTGTATCATTAGGGCTTGATCCACGATTGAATAGCATTGCTCAAAGATTGATCACTGCTAGTTTGTTAGTTTATTCATCTCACATGATGCATTTGCAGAGCAGTGATGGCGTGCTGGTGAGCAATTTGACTAGAAGCATACAACCTTCCTTAATTCTGAAATAGTTCATTCACTGGAAATTTATGGTAATTCAAACCATCTATCTCATATTCCCTCGTTGATTCATCGTAAACAAGTTTAAAATCTACATATCAAGGCTGTATAATTAAATATCTGACTTGTACTTTCATGTGATTATCAAATGAGCCGTAAGAATGCTGGAACATTCATTTTCTGCAACACCAGATATACAAGCATCACTTGAGCACCTACGGCTATAAACAGGTAACAGGATTAGAAAGCTGACTTGTCATTCTCTAAGTTTCAATTGTATTCCTGTACTTCTACACCTTGTCCCTTCAATATATTCAAAATCTGCTCCACCGTACATTGACCTCTACATACCCACCAAGAAAGGGACAAGGTCCATCATCTTCAGGTAACCCTGGTGCAGTCTAAATCTAGCCTTCTAATACAAACCTTCCAGATGGTTCAACTATTTCAACACCAAATGCAGGTGATAATGATCGGCCATTAGCTTGAATGTGCGACACACTGCAATGCAACAAGAAAGGAATTAAAAAACAGAAATTGTACATGGCAGTCAAGAGGGCAGTGATTGCACTGGACATAGTGAAAACCATGCATTAAGAAAAGTCATCTTTTTGTTTCCAAAGGTTGGAAGCTGCTTAGGACTGGTGGAGGTAGGGGATTCGACCAAGCCAAGCAAGTGGACATGTAATCTGCACGAGTGTAACTTTGCAAACTAGTCAAACTCAAGGCGGCTAGAGGCGGTTTATTAACGATAAACCAATTCACATTAACGATCTTCACGAACTGATGCATATACATTTACTGAGACCTATAATCTGATCCCCACATATCTGGTCAAATATAACATGTTTAAGCACATGCATGGAATCGAGATTAATCAGTGAAATAAATGCTATTGTTCTAACATGATCTAGAATCCAATTAGGTAAACTAGCATATCATATGGACTAACCACGCATTCGATACATGTATATCTCTTCAGTGGCAGTCAAAACTAGGCCATTAAAAAAGAGTGCACGGAGCAAACCATATAAAGAATAAACCATTAATAACTTCTCTATGATCAACTATGTCCAATTGTTCTGCAAAATTCCCCCAATGCAAGGAACAGGTTCTGGAAGTTTGAACTTCTGCAAGCGGCTCTCCTATCCTGTAGAAGGCATTTGGCATATTTGTAATTATGTTGAGAATGGGAGCATCGCATCGTTGTCATTAGTGAAAGGCCTATCCATTTCGACACGCATAAGAACACACACACCCAAGTGGTATATTCAGGATACAAAACATAGAGTAAATAATACATACAGCAACGTTGTTTTCAAGAATTTGCAGTTCTGTTAGTCCTTTATCACGCATGCAACAAAGAGACCAGTTAACAAGTGTTGAGGGTTCGTGATCTTATAAATGCTTCCCAGGAACTGGTGATCATATACAAGGTCCTATCTGCACTTGCTTGCAGAACCTACATACTCTAGTGGTTGATTTACTTTCCATAGTTTCCCGCAAAAGTACATGTACTATGACAGGCATGTGCTATTGTACTGACTAAATATAGGATCCTGATCTCATGTGTCTGTAATAGTTGTGCCCATTAATTTATTCTCTATAGCTTCCCGCAAAAGTAAATTTAGTATAAAAGACGCTTGCTATTGTGCTGACTAATATAGGATCCCAACTCCCGTGTCTATCTTATTTGTGCCTAGTCCTGCTAATTGCCATTACTGATCTTCTATGGAATCTCCAATTAAAATCTAGATGCGGAATTGTAGTGAATAATGATGCAGTTCCATGTCAAACATTGCTATCAGGTATCAGCAAAGAAATTTCCCATCAATGCTAAAAAAGTAGGACAAGACTCAGTTCAGCCACTACTAAAGTTTTAGCTACAAGAGCGAGACTTTTCAGGCTCATTTCCAGGCTGTTGATGAAGTTTTCTTCTTTTCAGCCGCCTTGTTGCAGGGATAATTGAGGTTAGTTTGCAAGCTCAGCACAATCATTCAAAAAGCTACGCACTAGTTTGTACTCATTATTCGAATAAGAATAAGAATAAACTTTGAATCGGGAAAGACATTTCAAGAGATAGCTGCATCTCAATCATGAATGTTATGCTACTTCCAAAAGTAGTAGAGCTATAATGGTGGATGGAAGGTTTTTAGTCAGGCAGGAAGCAACATTTCACACAGCAATCAAAAGACAAGAAAAAGGAAGAGAGATGCAGCATGCTTGAGCCATTGGAAAATACGGTGAAGTGTAAGTCCTTATGAATTGTCATTAGCAAAATCATCTGACGGCTCACCCAAGGAATCACCCAATGATCTGGGATGACCCATTCAAAAGCGCACTGGTTTGGCTGAATATGTAGTTAAATCCACAAACAAATAAGCTGGACATAAAAACATAGAATAACTCAATAAAGGTCAACTAGAAGCAAAACAAATTAAAGGAGTTCAGAAGAATTAACTTGTAAAGTTTGTATGTTAATTTCAGTAATAACACGAATATCTGAAACCGGTTTACATGCAAGTGTCTCAGGCACCACAGGATTACTTTGTTCTTTACTCAACCACCATGAAAATCTCCTTCCAAAACGGTCTCCTAGCAGCAGAGTATTAAAAATGCCTTCCCTTGGAAAATGATCAGCGCTAGAAGCACTTATTGCATCCGCAATGCATTGTTTAAAAGGAAATGATATGCTACCTTTAGCTAAAAAGGCATAAGCTTTATGCTCCCTCTTCAGAGATTCCCATTCTGCAAATTTGCCACATGCAACTTCCAAAGCTTTTTTCATAACATAACTGGGTTCGATGACACAATACAGCCTTTGCTAGCGAGGAAACATTCTTGAGCGCAACTGCTTGCAAAGGCCATTGCAGTCACTGTAAAACAATTGAAACCCAACCTAACCATTCAGTAAGAAAGACAAATTCAAGGCGTGTAAGCTTTTTCTACTCAAGCCCTTCATTAATCACTAAAATCTCAATCAAGATTGGAATTAAGCAAGTAGTCAACAACATTTCTTAAATTAGTTTCAAACTATCAGGTTCCTATCTTTTTTATTTTTAGTAAGCAGTATATAAGAGACAACAACTTTACATCCTCGAGATGAAATAGCTGTAAACTACATGTCCAGCACCAATGCACAATATAGAAGATCCTCATCAAGTAGAATATGCAGCTTGAGGAGAATATAATTGAATTGCAGTTACCAAAGAACGAATCGATTGCAAAGTTCAATATAAAAGAGATTGGTGTATTCTCAAAATGGCAAGAAAAACTGCAAGGCATTGTATTGTTTATAGGATAAAACGGAAATCTATACAGATTTCTTGAATCGGCTTGACCACGACATTTCAATGAAGATTCTCATGTATTTAGAATATCCATCGGATCTTATCCTTGTTTAAACTGAACTTTTCATTCGTTCTGCATTTGTCTTTACACCTCTAGAAACTCGTTGTAATTTTCTTTTGCGAAGAACATAGACAAGACTTGGTGAATTTCAGGTGATTTTGTGTGGATGTCGTGGCTTAAGAAAACAAGTAAAGTGGAATGCATCTTTGCTTTGCAGCTCGGTTACTGTAAATGTAGGTCACTTGCATGTTCTGGATCTAGAAACAGTAAAAAACACTTTGCCTTCTTTTTCTAACCTTAAAACCTGATTCCAAATGCTAAACAAAACATAAAAAGCTTCAATAAGCAACATCCAAAGCTCAAGAAATTCCAATGTGGGCAAAAACAAATCCTTCGACAAGTAGAAAGAATTTAAAGGGTCACTTCACTTCCATCGAACTATCCCAAAACAACCCCACCACCCCAAACCCTGGTGAAAAATTCGAAGTAAAATAAGATCCCGAAGCTTACAAAGTTCAAACAAGCAACTGGGTGCTTGTGAAAACTGAAACCCAGTAACACAAATCTCAAGCAAACAAGAAATAACTCTATGACCGCAAAACTAATGCCCACATCATCAAAGTCAACTCCAGATTATAGTTTGTACATTAGATTTGGAATTAATTATGTATCTCATTACAACCACCATCTAGTTAGTTAGTGGTCAAATGATAAAAATTTAGGATCAAGGAGTTTTTCTTTTTTATGGTTTTAGGTTTGAGTCCTTGGTTGCTCATGTAATAATTACTAGAGACTTATATGGTTGTTAACTTCAAGGCCCGTAGAATTAATCGTGATACAAAGTCAACTCCAGATTATAGTTTGTACATTAGACTTGGAATTAATTATGTATCTCATTACAACCACCATCTAGTTAGTTAGTGGTCAAATGATAAAAATTTAGGATCAAGGAGTTTTTCTTTTTTATGGTTTTAGGTTTGAGTCCTTGGTTGCTCATGTAATAATTACTAGAGACTTATATGGTTGTTAACTTCAAGGCCCGTAGAATTAATCGTGATACACGCAAGCTGGCCCGGACACTCACATTAATCTAAAAAGAAAAAAATATATATATCTCATTAGAACATAACTAAAACTATTGTGTACTTAGTTTTCTAATAACAGGAACCTTAATTTAACTACAACCCCACCCCCAAACGGCTAAAACTCCAGAACTCCAACCTCTTCAACTACTGATTTGTCTGAATTTTTTCCAAAATTAAAACAGGGGAGCGAACGCACTTACATCGTTACTCAAGACCAAGAAGGAAAGTTGTTTTTAGGCATTTTAATGCCCTCCAAACTGGAAACTGTTCTATACAAATTAATTTTTTAAGACAATTTAATGCCCTCCAAACTGGAAACTGTTCTATAAAAATTAATTTTTTAAAACAATTTTAATTTTTTAATATATTTTTAATTATTTTAATGTTTTAATTTTAAAAATAATTTTTTTAAATAAAAAAATATTATGTAAATATATTTTAATAAAAAAATATTTTAAAAAATAACTATAATTATATTCTTAAATAGAATTTATAATAAATACCACCGCACCGAAAAAATGACACTGCTTCACCAAACCCATTTTCATTTTAATTAAGGACTAGTGTTTTTTTTATCAAATAATTTTTTAAAAATATAAAAATATATAATCATACTAGTGTTTTTTTTATCAAATAATTTTTTTAAAATATAAAAATATATAATCAATTTTTATCATACAACTATGAAAAGTCTTTTCAAGATAAATTAAATGATTACTTTAATCCATTTTCACCTCTCAATCCATGTAATTCTTAGATACTAATTTTGGATTTGTAAGTAAAACATCAATAATACATACAAATTATTATTAACATACCTATTAATAATCTTATTGTATATCTTAACCTCACTTGAATGCTATGATTTTTCTTATGATGGGCAAAAACAACTACTATCACCCCACATAGAATGTTATTCAATTCTGTCGTTTTTGCTTCGATTCTAATTAATGCGCTTTATCCCAAGCTACTCCTCTCCCTATATGTTAAATCCATCTCATACAGCACCAAGCCAAATAAAAAATACATGGCCAATAAAATTATATGTTTCCCCCAAAGGATAAGGTATGTAAGAATGAAGAACATTAAAAAAAGAATTATCCAAAAAAAAAAAAACTTTGATAACTTCCAAGAATTGACACAATTCTTCTTCATAACATTTTTTTTTCTTTTTCTAGACAAATCATTATGAAATAAACAAGATTGAAGTTACTTGCAGGCTTTGTATAAAATTTAATTTGAATAAACTCAACTGAATAAATATATTTTAGTGTCTTAAAAGTATAGTTGTGATTATTTTTAAAGTTTTTTTTACTTAAAAATATATTAAAATAATATTTTTTTAAAAAATATTTTTAACATCAGCATATTAAAATAATAAAAATAATATTAATTTAAAGTAAAAATAAATAAATAAATTTTAATTTTTTTTAAAAATACTTTTAAAATACAAAAACAAAATTTATAGAAATACTTTTAAAATACAAAAACAAACATAGAATTTATAAAATCTTTTACTTTACTTGATACATCAACCTCAATATAAAGAAAATAACCAAAAAAATTATTATTTTTAAATCTAATCTAATTAACATCTATCTACATGTAAAATTATAGTTTGCGTTTGAGATATGTTATTCAATTTCTTAAAACTATGACAAAACCAAAAACAATATCATTAAACCCCCCCAAAATATAATCCTAAAAAGAAAAAGAGAACCTCATTGTAATTCAATGCTCTGGCTATTTGCATCCACTTTTAGAAGTACACAGAATGGATCCTTCAGATAAAAAACATTTGAGTAGATAGAGTTAGGATGGGAAAGGAAAGCAGCACCTCAAACTTAAAATAAAATAAAATAAAAAATTATAATGTACACTCCATATTTGTCAAATGGACTACCTATTGGGTTTTGGCTAGTGTAAAATGCTTTTTCACTAGAAAGTAAAAGAGATAACGCGTTTGGAGTGGAAAAAAGAATCCAATCCCTTCGACCACTTCACGACCAAGAAAGTGAGTGGCGGCAGTTTTCTGACAATCAATGGCCCCCACCATTACTTTTGTCTTGTGGAGTCACCATTGACTCTATTGGTCAACACAGAATCTCCATTCCAATATACGCAAGGCACAGGCAGACACTCACTCTCTTAGCGGCCATCAACCTCCTTTGTCTAACCAGAGCAGACACTTCTCCTCTTGGATCATCCACCGGTCCATCTCCCCCTTTTGGTTGCCGTTTTAGGAAGAGGAATGGACGACTATTTCTCATCAGGTTAGTCACTCAAATTTTACCCTTTCAACTCCACAACTCGTTTTTGTTTTTGTTTATTATTCTAATCATTTTTCGTTTCCTCTTGTTTTGTTAGCCCTGCCACTCTTACTGCTATTAATGGAACAAGGATTCAAATTTGATCCATCCGATGAAGAGTTAATAAGGAAGTATCTGGTGCCGAAAACCCGTGGTGATATCATGAGAGGCTTGCCCATGGCAGTCGTTAACCTTTGCGAGCATGAGCCATGGGATCTACCTGGTAATAATAATATTATCACTAGTGTGTTTGTTTTCTTTCATCTTATTATATCTGCCAGAATATTTTTATTAATGCAGTTTCTTTTATCTATTTCTCTTTGCAGGTAAATCCATTATAAAGTTAGCCGGTCAAGTAACGTGGTATTTCATATGCCCTCGCGATCTTAGGGGCAAAGTTCACCGCAGAAAAACCAAGGCCGGATACTGGAAACCGACCAGCCAGCAAAAGTCAATAACGGCTGAGGGTACTAAGAAAGAGATTGGGGTAGTGAGGACTTTGAGATTCTATGAAAAACAAGTGAGGACTGGTTGGATGATATACGAATTTGACCTCATCGCCAAATCTAGCCAGTTTAAAAAGGTACTAATTGAATGCCATGGATACATGATGCAACGCTGGGTTTGATGTATGAGTTGGGAATTTTACATCCTTTTTTGTTTTTTGAACTTTCGATATGTGCAGGGGCAATTTGTTCTCTGTAAACTGGAGTTTGATTCAAAAGGAGAGAAGAGCAAGAAAGGTGAACAAAGCCACCATATAGCTCCAGTCTTCCATTCTGAAGTTGAACCAAGTCAGAGTATGGATTCTGATTCTGAAAATATAAACCCAAGTGAGATGGCTATGAGATATTCGCCTTGTGATGAAAGTGAATTAAGCCATCATGCGGGTTCCCATTTTGGAAATCAAAATCCAAGTGAGCTGATGAATAAGTCAGCTCGCCAACTTAGTGAGTTAAGCCACCATATGGCTCCTGAGTTTAGAAACCATAACTCAAACAACCTAATGCCTAATTTAGTTTATGATGGAAGTGGGTCAAGCCACTCCACGGTTTTTAATTGTGAAGATCAATACTGGAATCAGCCTACAGTTGATTCAGCTTATAATGGAAGCGAAAGCCCTTACATGGCTTTCGATTCTGAAAATCAAAACCCAAATGAGCTCCCGACAGTTGATAATCCAACTTCTAATGTCAACAAAAACCATGGCATGGCTTTTGGTTTGGCAAATCATAACCCGAATGTATCGCTGACAGTTGATAATTCAACTTCTAATGTCAGTGAAAGTCACCATATGGCTCGATAGAAGGGTGTTTCGAGCAAGAAAACAGCCCCAACCCTGCACTTGTCCAGCTTCCTGCTTGCATGGAGGAAAGCCACTTCTTCAGGGGCTTTGGTACCTTGGAAAATCAAGAACCATTCTTTCCACCTTGTAGTTTTATAAACCAGTCAACGTATGATAAGAGTGAATCAAGTAGCCTAATGGATTTTGATTTTGAAAATCAAAATCTAGTAAAGGAATTCGATATATCAGCCTTCGGTGAAGGTGTATGGAGTAATACCACAGCAACTCCTCCGGATTTTGGAAATCAAAATCCTTGTAAGAAGACTGATACGTCAACCTTTGAAGAAGGTTATTCGAGTTACTTTAACTCCTCTTCAGATAATAATCTAGCTGATGTGGCGCTTCCAGAGGTAAGAACTAAATACCATGCATTACAGATTCTTTTTAATTTTTGTTCTGGGGTTCGAGTAGCAAACCCAAAGCTTATTCTTACTTCACATGATACTTCCAGCAGGTAAGGTCTGGAATACAAGCAGGGATAGAAGGGTGTTTCGAGCAAGAAAACAGCCCCAACCCTGCACTTGTCCAGCTTCCTGCTTGCATGGAGGAAAGCCACTTCTTCAGGGGCTTTGGTACCTTGGAAAATCAAGAACCATTCTTTCCACCTCGTAGTTTTATAAACCAGTCAACGTATGATAAGAGTGAATCAAGTAGCCTAATGAATTTTGGTTTTGGAAATCAAAATCCAGTGAAGGAATTCGAAATATCAGCCTTCGGTGAAGGTGTATGGAGTAATACCACAGCAACTCCTCCGGATTTTGGAAATCAAAATCCTTGTAAGAAGACTGATACGTCAACCATTGAAGAAGGTTATTCGAGTTACTTTAACTCCTCTTCTTCAGATAATGATCTAGCTGATGTGGCGCTTCCAGAGGTAAGAACTAAATACCATGCATTACAGAATCTTTTTAATTTTTGTTCTGGGGTTCGAGTAGCAAACCCAAAGCATATTCTTACTTAACATGATACTTCCAGCAGGTAAGCCCTGGACTACAAGCAGAGATAGAAGGGTGTTTCGAGCAAGAAAACAGCCCCAACCCTGCACTCGTCCAGCTTCCTTCTGTGGGGTTCGAGTAGCAAACCCAAAGCTTGTTCCTACTTTTCATGGGCTTTAGTACCTTGGTACCTAATTGAAAAGATATGTTATCTGGTTCCTATCTGCTATTTAACAACAAAACTATCCATACGAAATAATCGATGGAGTTTATTATAAATGGTTTAAGAGGGCAGCTACTGATGCTCCTCCAATCTGATAATGAGGGTAACTTTTGTCGCCCTAGTTGTTTGGATCATTGCACGGTTGCTGATCTGCACATTTTACTTACTTTATGGTGGACGCTGCTTAGTTCGACTTCGTCCAGTCCATGCAGCTTTAAGCTGCAATCCTCTAAAATATAGCCTGCGCTGTCCCAAATCTGCAGCTGTATTCGTAGAAAGATTTGGGTACTAGTAGCGGAAAACACGAGTTGTTCTCTGCGATCCTGATGCAACTGCTATCCGTCAAGTACTAAGATATTAAATGGGAAGTACTATTCAAGCCGTACGCACGTATGTATAGTTGCTTATTGTTGTATTGTATGAAGGTGGGATTGTGTCAAGAGCAAACAGCTCTTATAGACTATGTATCTACGTGTCAGTGTGCTTCAAAGATGTTGAACAAAAGTACTTATGTTTAATTAATATGTTCAACTTCAAGTTCTCTTTTCTTAGCTTTGTTAATTGTTCGGTTGCCATTGCAGTGCATATCTGCAGTAGAATGAGATGATAACGTTACTGAAAGTTTAGAATTACATGAGATCTGTATTATATTTGAGGTACTTGCAAGAGTAATGATTTTTAAAAAAAATGTTTTTTCAGTAAAAGTTATATAAAAATATTTTTTTTTTAAAAAAAACTATTTTTAACATGATCATCTCAAAACAATTTAAAAATATAAAAAAATTAATTTTAAAAAATAATTATAAAACCCTTTTAATGAAATGTAATTTCAATAACACTGGATATTCTACTGGCTTTCTTGCCACTTGTCAAAACTGCATCATCTCAGAAGTCAGTGGCAGTGTAAGCTTTGCCTGTATCAAGCTTCGTAGCTTGTCATCAATCTTTAAACAAGATTAGTTTCGTATATTATCGGAATCCAGCATCAAGCATGACATCCAGGGCAAGAGAACTTAAGCTAAGCATGGGGAATATCCAACTCTTGAGAACAAGTGATCGCAGGAAAGTGATTGCAGCAATGTAAGCATTTAGCAGAATAACCAGGGAAGGGGGGATGGAGTTCTGCTGTGTCACTTTAAGCAATCAAATCAAAATCCGGACAGGTCAAATAAACCTTAAATGGACATAATTTTGTTGAGTGTTCACGAATTTTGACCCCATTCTACAAATTAAAAGTTTTCTTTTAGTATACCAGCTGGTTATATACTTGATGACATGGTAAAGTTAGCAATCCTGTAGTTTCTGCAATATATATTGGGAAGATTATTCTAGAGAATTCTGGAGGGGTAAGCGAGTACTCAATCAAGAGCAAGCACCATAATTAACTTGTCAAGAAAGTTATTTTTCGGGTGTTAATGAAAGGAAAATAATCTTGTTCCCTGTCGTAGATTCCTTGATGTAATCGTGACTCCCATTTGATATGAAAAGAGAGTGCTATAATTAAATAATATTTTTTGGGTATTAATGAAAGGAAAAGTGTGTAAAAGGAGCTGCTAGCTAATTCTTGCTTCCTCCATAATTGTTAATCATGCTTCAGACCTCAATCTAGACAGCTAGTTGAATCCTCTTATCCTGTCTTAAAACACATAACATCTAAGAAGAAAGCAAAACCCAAAAAGTTGCATGCTGACTAAAAAAACAGACCACTGAAACTGAAGGGAAATAGATGGATAATGCTGTCGTACAATTTCACTTTCATGTCCATTCTTGAATGTTCGAGAATTTTCTGATAAAGTAGTTTAATTAGCTTGAACTGTAAGTTGTGGGATATGCTCAAACCTCTCCCATGATCCTAGCTTGGGGAAGTGAGTCTCTCTTTTCTGGTAATTATTTATTTTATTTTATTCTTGCTAATCTAATTGGCTAATGGATGGCACATCACACTGTACGGACATTAAATGACGCGGTTTAGAGGAGGTCGGTCCCACTTAGCCAATTTTCTTATACGATCGGTCAGCAAGTATAACTTATACGAGGATGCTTGAGTGACTGGGCTGCAGAAGCACATGATTGCCTACAAATACACCCAGAAACTCACCACACCTGCTTGCGCTCATCACAGATAGATAGCCTTCTTGCACCTTTGCTAGATCAGTGGATCACCGCTCCATTGTCTTCCTTTTCTTAGTTAGTTTAGATAATTTGATCTTGTGACTTTGCTTCGGTTGTGGGAGTTGTTGGTAACTTTTGCTTCTTCTTTTTTTTTTTATTATTGTTCTTGCAGTTTCAAACAAAGTGCGTGATAGATGACAAGCTCAACAGTACCTTTTCCATCTGCCCCAAAAGGCTATGGATTCCATCCAACCGATGAAGAATTAATCAACCATTTCCTGAAGTTAAAAATGATGGGTGGCTATGATCACGAAGTTGCCATAATTGCCGAGGTTGATGTGTGCAATTCTGAGCCTTGGGAACTCCCTGGTACAATTTAAATGTGTTTGTGTATCTTTGTTCATTATTTTTTCTGATTAATCAAGAAATTATCATGTTGATTCTGCAGGGCTTTCAGAAATTCAGTCAAATGATACAGTGTGGTACTTCTTTTCTCCTCGCAATTACAAGTACTCCAATCGTAAGCAGGCTAAAAGGACTACTAAGGCAGGATACTGGAAACTCACTGGTAATGATCGCATAATCAGGGCTATGAGCACAGGGGAGGAAATTGCTAAAAAAAAGTCTCTGGTTTTTTATAAGGGTCGGGTTCCTAATGGAGTCAGGACCAATTGGATCATGCATGAATATAATCCGACTTTCAACTTCCATAACCAGGTATTGCTCCCTCTCAAAGTGATTGAACATACATTCATTTTCCGTAAAGTTTATTGATATCATCAACTCTTTTCAGATCTTAGAACCAGCCTTTTCTTCTCTATCTGGCTTATGTTTTTTGGTCAACTATGTGCAGAAGGACTTCGTTCTCTGCAAACTGAAGAAAAATTCAGATGATAAGCTAACATATGAAGAAGGTGGGTCAAGTTCCAATATGGCTTCTGATTTTCCAAACATTGTGACTGAGGTTAGTAGTAGCATGAATCACACGCAGTTTATAGTTACACGTTGTTCTATTAAGCATATCAAGTACTTACATTTCTTTTAATGATTACTACCATAGGAAGATCATCTGGAAGCATTCCTCGGAGTTGATGAAGGATATTATAATTGAACTCTGCCCAATAGCTTACAAATGGGATTGTGTACTGAGAAAATCCCCCTCCGACAACGAGTTTTCGATCATCTATGTCTGTCAGCCTGTGCTATATAGTGCTTACAGTAGCCAACTTTATGTTCTTAAATAAGTTAATATTTTGGTACTTGTATGTATGTGTTAAACGTGGGAATGGTCAGAGTTCATATGCATTGTGTGTAGCAGATAAGCCATAGGAACAAATTACCTCTAGTTGTTCTTCATGGTGTTTCTACTTGCTTGTTTTGCTAGAGTGGAATTTAATGCATTTTATGTATGTTAAGCTAAGTGACTTGTTTATGACCTGGCGTTGATTGTTTAATTAATTCTAGCTACTGAGATGTTTAAGAAACGAGGGGGGAAAAACTGGTGTATACAGGTACGGAGGTAGGATTATTTGTTAAATAAATTAAAATTAATATAATAAAATATAAATATATAATAATTTTTAGATAAAATAAGAGGTTTTGCCCAATATCAAATTGAATTAAAACAATAAAGTTAATTTTATTTTTATAATACATCCAATACTTTAATTTTTTAGTCTTTATAACCATAAAATATAAACATATAAAATATATAAGAAACATTAGATAAAGTAAAGCATTATTTATTCTTTTTTTTCTCAACATCACATTTTAAAGTTGGTTCATGAGTTATCAATATTTATTTTTTTAAAAAAAAATTAATTCCTTTTATTTTATTCATGGTTCAACCTAAAATCAAAACATATACTGTGAGAAAAAATTGGTAATTTTGATAACTCTACTAAAAATAAAACAAAAACAATCAAAGTTTAATCAAGACAAAAAAAAAATTCAAATTTTTTTTGGTAAAGATAGCAGATCTGAGCAA